CAAGATGCTGGCTTTATTTTAAAATGTGCTTTGATATAATAATAACATAATGAGATATAATTAAACTCATGGAAAGAGAATGAGTCCAAAATTCTATTTTTTTAATCAGAAACAATGAAATTTCTTTTCAGAAATCACTACCCTATTTTCAGAATAGGTGTATTTTGAAAGTTCTCTCATTTTTATTGAATTAAGTTATTCTTTTGGCAATAAATACCTTTCAAATTTTAAGAAGACTTAAATTTTTATGTTTGTCATATTGTGAAGAAGTGAGAATCGAGAATTGCTATATGTCTTTCTTATTGTTTGAATGCACATACAACATACCCCGAGCCTCCAGCTTTATTAAAGTGCAATTATGCCGCGGACCAGCGCAGCGGTAGACTTGCAGGACTGTCTCAGGATTGAGAAACTGTGAGGATGCTCACGGAATCGGCGCATAAATGACAGACAGACACACAAATGACAAACAGACACACTTCAAGAGTGAAGATCTGAATGTAATTTGCTCAAAATCATCATACACTTTATACCTTTTTTAACAATGGATGATTTCATACAATTTAATTTTTTCTCAGCATAAAATACTTTGTAAGGCATAAGACATTTACTTTGTTATTCATGTGCATGTGATTGCTGTTCCATGACACAGTAAACAACCTCAAGGTACTGAATCTACACAATCAGTTTTGCTTACACAGAACAGCATTCTTTAAGCTAGCTTTTCTTGATTCATATCCCAAAACCACAATGATCAAAAACATTGATATTTACCTACTGGCACCTTCTACTTTTAGTGATCACGAGCAATATATTCTCTACGTAAGCATTTTGATTTTTATGGTGTTGTCTCATGTGAGAAGTATTATGATTATTATAAAACTACTATTGCCACACACTATTTTCTTTATCATGCATTTCCTGAAACTGATTGTACACATATAAAGAAAAAGCAAAGTAAGTGAAAAAGTAGTATGATTATAGACAGGTTGCTAAGTTGTTGCTACTTATTCTGAAACAATGGCTATCTGATTAATGGTAAAACTGCTTTGTAGGTAATTCCATCAGGCTTGTTTGCAGGTGACGTTCTTAGCAGCCTTGTTTCCATCAAAGGAGGGGTTAATTACTGCGGGCTTGGTGCCTAAATTAGGCTTATAGGCATGTAGACCTTGTTTGATCTGAACGCCAAAGTTTATCATAATGAAGCCCCTCGGGGACTGCGCCTGTCTTAGGTCGTCAGGAGTCACAGACATGAGGCTGGCCAGTGCCTTCTTTAGTCTGCCCCCGATCTTACCCGTCATTGACTGTCCAGTCCAGCGCACAGGGGATGGGAGTCTTACTCTGATGTGTCTGAGTAAAAGCCTCCCTCTTTCCAGTAAGTTCACTGGTGTTCAGCGGCAGAGGCTGCCGCACAATTAAAAATAAAATTGAAAGATAAATAAAATAAAATAAAATGTTCTTTGCAGGGAATTCAGCAAAAAGAATATCCTTGTAAAAAGTTCCAATAGAACAACAAAAATTTCTTTAAATTTTCTTTAAATACATTTGAGAAATGAGACATAGAGAAAATGTTTTAAATATATATATAAATAATTGCTTCATGGATACTTTCCAGCAGCTTTTATTAGCATCACCTAACACCTTACCTGTGATAGATTTAAGTTCTCATACAAAACTTTTGCTATTAACACTTTAAAAGATATTCACCAAATAGTAGTCAAATATTTTCTCTGTCACTTCCTGCTTCTCCCTGATTTTATGGTCTCTTAGATCTAATATCAGCTGTAATTTCTGGAAGGGGATTATCTTTATTGAGGGGGAAGGACTTTGATCAATGACAAAGGCTTGTAGGATATAGCCCGTAGGATTATACAATTTCAAATTGTCTGTATTGATATGCAAAGATTTATTTCTATGACGTGACCTTCTATGTTGATGGGCACAGGACAGGTGTTCACACTTCTCTGTTTCTAGAACTGACACATTTGTCGTTGCTTTTATAAACTGAATATGACTTAAAAATGCAAATGTTTTAGAGGCAAGACTCATACACACATTTTAAAATGGTCACTTTCTTGTTCAGGCTATACACGAACACAGTGTCTCACATAATATTAAACATTGGGGAGAAACATGCTTTAAATCTAAACTTTATGTCAAAAAGTAATTCTTCAAATTATAAGTCATTTTAATTTTAAATATATACTCATAGACAGAAAGCCTAACAGGTTATATTTTTCTCTTTCTTTTTTAACATGATTATGTCTCAGGTTTTCTAATTGCTACAGATGAAGTTAAGATATAAATGTGAATGAATCTTAACAATTAAATTCATTTGAACCTCTCTAATTTGAGTATATAGAAAGATAAATGAAAAAAATGATCATACTTAGAGATGTTGCTCAGAGAAGGACTTATTCAGGTCTTCTACCAGGTGGAAGAACTAAATGAGCTTAACAAGTAATGGCTCTGAGAACTTTCTGTAGTTCTTAAATGAGCAGTTTCTAGTTTGGATTTAAACCCACACCCTCCTATCTCCTGACACACTTCTCTTTTTGTTCCAACAGTACTGACCAAATTCCTTGAATGGTCCAAGCTCCTTCCTGTATGTTAAATAAACCCAAAGCTTTCTACACAGTCCCTTTCCCTCTCTTCCCCTGGTCCATTTGTCCTTTGTGTCTCAACTCAGACATCACTTTCTTAGGAAGGCCTTGCCCAGTCACAGCTTCTCCACCCACACATACATTCATAGGTACACACCAGACTAAGTCCAGCCTACAAAGCTCTCTTCCCCATTGTGCCAACCACATCTCCTTTTCCTTCATGGCATTTGCAATTCCTGTTTAGTATCTATTTTCACCACAACTCTAACAGTTGAGGGGCAGTGTGTCTCATTCTTAGTTGAATCTTAAGCATAGCAGAGCCTCTGCTGCACAGCAGATTCTGAGTACATGTGGAAATTAGGGAGGAAGGGAGTGAGAGAGAAAGTGAAATCCTGTTGAAGATTATAGAATCTCTATCCTATTGGTTTTATTTTTTTAAATTTATTTATGCATACAAGAACTGGGGTACAGGTCAGAGGTGCAGGGGGTAAGAGAATTCACCAGAGACAGAGTGGGGAGCAGAACTGGTGAATTTACTGAAATACATTGCTGAGGGGAGCAGCGGGCAAGACAGGAGAGGTCTGCTGCACCAGGTGGATAGCTCCCTGGGCGGCTGGGGATCCAACTCGTGCTGTAGAGGATGCAGACAGCTTCTCAGTGCTGTGCTTTGTGCTTTAACCCCTTGTGCCACCAGGGAGGCCCTTGATTTAGAACCATACAGGCATTCTCTGATCTGGTTGTTTAGACCACCCCATACTTCAAAATTGTAAAGTCAGCTGTATCTTGGTCTATTGGTATTGCCCATTAACCTATAACTATGGAAAATGCAGCACCTGTAGTGATTCATAGCTCTGGAGAAGAGCTATACCAATTACCTCAGATAAGTGGGGAAAGTATTTATTCTGCTTGATCTCTGCTAACAAGGGTAAGCTGTGATCAGTCACATATATTTGACCCAGCTCCCTGCACTGTAAAAAATAAGCAATAAAACACTTTCTCTAACAGTGACTGCATGGGTATGTTCCAGAAACTGCAGGTATTGCTGTGTGGATAGAGGAATAAATCCACCCCTTGACTGTGATAATCTTAGTGTTTTCCACAGCTTGACTAAACTTTAGACAAGTTTATTCCTGTCTACTGGCCCCTTGGCTTCCCTTTCTGTGGAACATTTACTTTTAAAAACATGCCGTTGTAAATTCTTTCTCTGCTCCTTTAGGAAATAAATCTCCCAGCCTCTTGCAAGTTTTACAATAGAGAATTTTCTTTCTTAGAGACCTGGGAACCATCTCTTTGAAATTTAGTCATCAAGTGTTTCTGTGGGACGATGGGAGCCTGCCTTAAATAATTGACAAATATCATGGGTGCCCTGATCACTCTCATCAGCCTCCCTTATCATCCCCCCATAGTTGTTTACTACCACACCCAGCACTTAAAACCCCTCCACCTTTTATTCCACCAGCACGGAGTTCAATGTCACTTACCTATTGTAATCTTCTTGAATAAAATCTTCTTAGCCCGTGTAACTCTGTTAAGTGAAATTCTTCTTTGACACCCTCTTGGGGACTGATCTCAGTTACTCCTATGAGGCTTGACCTGGCTCATGTAAATTTAAATTAAATTGAATCTACATCACTGGGCAAATGTGCATGTACTAAAAGAAGGTGAGCAAATTAAAAAAGATAAATAATTTACTGAGTAAAACCTCAGTGAACATATCAAATAGGCAGGACAATTGTTTTTATCTGGGGGAGTGAGACTTTTCCTTTAATGCTATTATGTTGAAATAGCATTGGTGGTGGGGGAAGGAACTAGTCACTTCTAAAGACTTACAAATTTGAACAATATCCATCAGCAAAATCTGTGGTTGGCATAATTCTGAGCTCACTTTTAAATTTTCTACTCCACATGATATAGCTCATATAATGATCTTGATTGTTACCTTGAAAACTTGCTGAGTTCAAAGTGTGCAGGCCTTAAGAGCCAGGATTTTTTTTTTCTTTGGTATGGTTAGTGAGCAATGGTCTTTGTGATCTAGTTGTAAAACACACTGGGCTTGGGAGTCAGACTGCTGGATCCATATCCTGGATGCACCAGAACTTCAATTAATGGCTGAATATTTTATGACTCTTTAAAATTAAATAGTACAGATTCTGATTTGTAACACATGCTCATTAGTTAGTTGTAATTGTCACCATCATCTTCCTTATCACTTTTATTACTGTGAAAAACAAATCAAAATTACAATTTCATAACATTCTACTCTCCACCAAAAAATAGTCATCGAATGGTAGCAACGCTCACTTAAAATAGACTTCCAGCCTTATTGAATTGCTTTACTCATGCATAACTGAGTTCTATTTGTGAGACATTTGTCTTTTTCTCTCCGCATTTTTTTAGTGATGGATGGGCAGACAGAGATGAAGTCATTGAAGGTTATGAGATGGAAGCCAACGGGGGAATCACGATAAAGCTGCAGTCACCAGAGGTCAGGTCATTTGATGATTATTTTCTGAAACTGAGACTTGACACTAATACGAGGAATCCCTGGTTCCCTGAGTTCTGGCAACATCGGTTCCAGTGCCGCCTACCAGGACACCTTCTGGAAAATCCCAACTTTAAAAGAATCTGCACAGGTAACACCTATTCATAAAATAACAGTTCAGAGGGATTGTCATCTTCTCCAGCTCCATTAGGGCTTTTTGAATAAGAGTAGAATGTGTCAAGATTGGAGATCCAAAAACTAAATCGACACCCTAATTTATAAAAACACTATAATAAGGAGCAAATGTATATTTCTTTAGGGATTCATGTTTTTATATCTTGTGGCACCAGCTACAAGAAGAGATAACATAAGTAATGGAAAAGCTGAGAATTCAGGTTTCTAATATTCAAATCAGAGGGAAGAGATTTTTTTCTAAATCAGTTAATTCTCTTACATCTTTGCTAATTTTTGGACAGTGTTTGATCGCTCCCATCAGGTGTGGTTCCCATAGTTCTCCCACCACCACAGCCCCTGATCTATCTCCACAGTCCAGAGGGAAGAGATTTGACTGTAGGCATGCTTAAGAGAGGTTAGCCACAGACATAAGTTAGCAGCACTTGTGTATTCCATTTTCTTTTTCATGACTTGCTTTGATACATAAGTGATACACAAGATGAGATAATGTCCTCCAGGCTCACTCCACTAACCATGGTATGGGGGTGTAAGTGCCAAGACACTGTGCTCTCTTCTGTAAAAAGGAATGATGGTCCCTGTGGGATGCATACTTCCCCCACACAGCTCAGAGCACATTGTTCCAGACCTTTCAGGCAGGTTTGGTGAACACAGGGATATCCTTCCATGTCCCCTCCCTGGAAAGTACCATAACCCAGACTCTTTTTTTTTTTAATGTATACAAGTGGTGGGGTACAGGCCAGATGCATGGGAGGGTGAGAGGATTCACCAGGATTCACCAGTGGGGAACAAAATAGCAAAATAGGCAGACTGACGAAATACACTGCTGAGGGGAGCAGCGGGCAAGACAGGAGAGGTTCTGCTGTGCCATGTGGAACCCTCGCCGGCCAGCTGGGCTTGAACCTGTGCTGTAGAGGCTGGGGACAGCTGCACAGTGCAGCGCTCAACCACCTGCACCACCAGGGAGGCCCAACCCAGACTTCTTAACAAGGCAAATTTTGAGTTTTAGCACTATTGCATGGAGACATTTCTGACCCTGGTCCTTATTCAGTATTGTCTAGGCAGCAAAGAGAGACCATCTTTGGTCTACCATAGGGCCAGTTGTCCATACTGGATTGATGACATAACATGATGGACAGGCTATCTCTGTCCATGACAAAATTTGAATTGTAACATAGTGATGTGACACGCATTTTCTGTAACTGGACTGGGCACATATTATTTAGAGAAGTCTAGAACCCATTCATTCATTCAGCACTCATGTATAAAACACTGTACACAGGAAAAAAATGATCCATAAAAAAGAAGAAAAAGAACAGAGAAATGTATAATCTGTATCTTGGCTGAGAGAAACTTGTGTTTTCTTTGGCAAATCAGAACAGATTGTACACGTGATAGAGATAAGTAAAAAAAAAAATAATGTGCTTTTGTAATACAGGGTAAGAATATGGCTCATTATATAAAATATTTCTAATTTTAATAATATTCACATTTTGATGCTGGAAGTTTCTTTAAAGTATCATAAATTTAAATGCAAAGATATGTGTCTGACTTGGTAAGGTTCAGCAGAGTTCACTGCAAAATTGCCTTGTGTGAATCTATTTTCAGTCAATCAAGTTTTTTAGAACTTTTCAGTATGGTTTCTTCGAAGTGTAAGAAATGTAATCTGGCTGAGAACCAGGAGGAAGAGAAAAGTTCAGCAGCTAACCCATTCAGTCACATTTCTATCTACTAACTTTTTTCTACTAAATAAAAGGCCCAGTGGAGATTAATAATTCTACTGGACCAATAAACTACCCAGTGAATTTTTCTTATTTTTTATTTTTATTATCTTACATTGTTGTTAACTTTTGGACACTATTTAATTTCTCCTCTAAGGTGTAGTCCCCAGAGTTTTCCCATCACCATAGCACCCATGAATCATCACGAAATTTCTTTGTGCTCCTCCCTTCCCTGTTTTGACCTTTCTCCCTCTCCTCCCCTGCTGTATCCCTTGATCTATGGTCAGCTTGCAAGATTTGCCCTTTTTCTGACCCTTTGTTTGGTTTTCCTATATTTGCATATAATTGAAACCACCTGACACTTCATTTAGCATAATCCTTTCCAGCACCATCCATGTTGCCACAAATGGCATGAGTTTATCTTTTTTGTTTGCTGATCATATTCCATTGTCTATATATACCACATCTTCTTGATCCATTTATCTGTTTGGGGGCATTTAGGTTGTTTCCATATTTTGGCTAGTGTAAATGGTGCTGCAGTAAACAAAAGAATGCAGGTTTCCTTTCAGATTAGTGTTTTTGTGCCCTTTGCAAAATAAAGATGTTGAGGATGAAGGGACAACAGTTTCCCTAGCTTCAAGTAATTAATGACAGCAGTGGAATTTGAACATACAACTCTTTTTTTTTTATAATAAATTTTATTTTTATATTCCCCATACAATTTCAACCCCCCCATTTTGACCCCAATCCCTCCCCTCCCTCCACCCACCCCCCCAAAATTGTCTCTGGTTCATAGATTTTTGTTGATTTTGATTTTCACTTTCTTATAGTTATTCATTTTCCTGGTCCCTTATTTAAGTTTTCTAGATTCCTGCTATGAGTGAGACCATCCGGTATTTTTCTTTTTCTTTCTGGCTTATTTCGCTGAGCATGATCCCCTCCAGCGCCATCCATGTTGCTGCAAATTGTATGTGTTTATCTTTTTTGAATGCTGAGTAATATTCCATGGTATATATGTACCACATCTTCTTGATCCAGTCATCTATTTATGGGCATTTGGGCTGTTTCCAAAGCTTAGCTATTGTAAATAGTGCTGCTATAAACATAGAGGTGCAGGTGTTCTTTGGAATTGATGTTTCTGTGTCCTTTGGGTAAATACCTAGGAGTGGAATTGCTGGATCATATGGAAGCTCTATGTTTAGTAGGTCAAGAAATCTCCACACAGCTCTCCATAGTGGTTGGACCAGTCTGCATTCCCACCAGCAGTGCAGGAGAGTTCCTTTTTCTCCACACCCTCGCCAACATTTGTTGTTGCTAGTTTTTTTAATATGTGCCATTCTCACTGGTGTAAGATGGTATCTCATGGTAGTTTTGATTTGCATTTCCCTGATGACAAGTGATGTTGAACATTTTTTCATATGCCTGTTGGCCATTTGCATTTCCTCTTTGGAGAAGTTTCTTTTTTTTTTTTTTTTAATTTTTTTTTTATTTATTTTTTTATTTATTTTTTTTTATTTTTTAATAATAAATTTTATTTTTATATTCCCCATACAATTGCAGCCCCCCCATTCTGACCCCAATCCCTCCCCTCCCACCCCCGCCCCCTAAAAGTGTCTCTGGTTCGTAGTTTTTTGTTGATTTTGATTTTCACTTTCTTATAGTTATTCGTTTTCCTGGTCCCTTATTTAAGTTTTCTAGATTCCTGCTATGAGTGAGACCATCCGGTATTTTTCCTTTTCTTTTTGGCTTATTTCGCTGAGCATGATCCCTTCCAGTGCCATCCATGTTGCTGCAAATTGCATGTGTTTATCTTTTTTGAATGCTGAGTAATATTCCATGGTATATATGTACCACATCTTCTTGATCCAGTCATCTATTTTTGGGCATTTGGGTTGTTTCCAAAGCTTAGCTATTGTAAACAGTGCGGCTATAAACATAGGGGTGCAGGTGCTCTTTGGAATTGATGTTTCTGTGTCCTTTGGGTAAATACCTAGGAGTGGAATTGCTGGATCATATGGAAGCTCTATGTTTAGTAGGTCCAGAAATCTCCACACAGCTCTCCACAGTGGTTGGACCAGTTTGCACTCCCACCAACAGTGCAGAAGAGTTCCTTTTTTGGAGAAGTTTCTTTTTAGCTCTTCTGCCCATTTTTTGACTGGATTATTTTCTTTGTTTTTGTTGCGTCTTATCAGCTCTTTGCAGATTTTTGTGATCAGTCCTTTATCATTAGTGTTGTGTGCAAAAATGTTCTCCCAGTTGGTGGGGTTTCTCTTTGTTTTGGTTATTGTCTCTTTTGCTGTACAGAAGCTCTTTAATTTGATGTAGTCCCAGCTGTCTATCTTTGCCTTCACTATCACTGCTTTGGGTGATGTGTCTGTAAAGATGTCTTTGATGTGCAAATCACGTAGTGTTTCGCCTATATTTCCTTCTATGCGTTTTATGGTTTCAGGTTTTATGTCTAGTTCTTTAATCCATTTTGAGTTGGGTTTTGTGTATGGTGTGAGGTAGTAGTCAAGCTTCATTCTTTTGCATCATACAACTCTTTTAAATACCACGATGCTTGACTTAGCATTTTGGACTTAGCATTTAGTAATATATTGTCCTTTATTATTATTCTCCCATTGTTTTCTAAAAATGTTTTCTTTCTTAAACTATGTATTCTTTGAAGATAGAGTTCTTTTTTAAAAAGATTTATTTATTTATTTATATAAGCACTGGGTACAGGGTGAGAGAATTCACCAGAGCCAGAAGGGGGAACAGAACAGGCAGACCGAAGAAATACACTGCTGAGGGGAGCAGCGGCACTGCAGGAGAGGTCTGCTGCACCATGTGGGGCCCTCACTGGTGCCTGGGGATCGAGCTGGAGCTGCAGAGGCTGCGGGCAGTTTCACAGCCCAGCGCTCAATGGCTGAGCCACCAGGGGAGGCCCAGAAGATAGAATTCTTATAACTCTTGTAGAACATTGTATAACATAGCTCTGAGGGAGCTGTCATTTCTTAGTATCAAATTGATCAATTTATTTATATAATCTTTTAATGTAGCAAGCCTATGAATTTTACTTTTTTCAAAAGAAAAACTAAGGATTATCATTTTTATAATGGACTCTTCATTCAGCATTCAACAAATATCTGAATATCTGCAATATGCAAGGTTGTAGATTTATTTCTGCAGCAAAAACTAACCTTAAATTCCAGTGCAGGAAAATAAATAGTAAGCAAAAATAGATTAAGCAAAATAT